CCTGATCCCATCTGGTTTCCCCTGGCTGAGACTGGGGACTTTGGAGCAAAAGCTGCAGGGGGAGGAAAAGACACAGTCGAAAGTCCTTTTTTCCTTCACTTGGCAGTGACCAGTGTCTGTCTCTCCAGCTCAAGCCCTGTGGAGGGACACAGGTGTGAGCTACTGGACCGGGCTCTGTCCTCTGGGAGGTTAGGTCTGAGAACACAGAAAGGGGGCTGTGTGCGGAAAGGGGAACATATTTCCTACCTGCACATCGGCCAGGCAAGGCCTGAAGGACATTGCGAATTACAGGGTAAAGGTGAGGAAAAGTGTTCAAGGAGAAGGAACATAGGTGCACAGCAGTCTAGGGGTTAAGGAGAGGGCAGGGTGCCACGGGAGAAGTCGGCCTTGGAAACAGGCTTCTCCAGGTGGGGGCGGGGGTCAGGGGTATCCACTCAGGCTGGCGGGTCAGGAGAGGCCCTCGGCAGCGCCCAGCGTGGGCAGTTGGTCGTCGGGGCAGATGACATCAGCGACTTGGGGAGCGGCCGACGTTAGGGGGCTGCAGACTAGGTCGAAGCACTGGCGGTGAAATCTGAGAACCGGGACTGGAGGCAGTGACAGCGAGGAGCTCGGGACAAACTAGCCTTCCCACTCGAAGGCCGAGCGCGCGCAGGTGACGTCATCAGCGTGCGCGGCCCCCCCCAACTCCGGGCGCGGGGGGGGGGCCCCCCTGCTTCCTCCCGGCCCGGGCCTTGGTCGGCTGCCGTGTCACCTGTCTCCGGGGAAATCCACCTCCTTCTTCAGAAATGGGCCCCGAAAGCCTCTTGGGTTCCTCCCGCGCCCACAGACCCCGGTCTCCGGACCTCCAAAGCTGCGTGTTGAGAGAGGCCCTGATGGTCGGCGGCCTTTAGCAGCCGGCCGCGGGGCACAAATAAGCGATGTGAGGGGCGACCTTTCTCGCGACTCTGGCAGCCACAGCCCCTCTCCGGTGACCTGATCCCAACCCGCAGGATAAGCCCCCAGGTCACAATCCCGGGCAGTTGATTTACCTTCCCCCATCACATCACAGCCCTTGGGGAGCCTTCTAGGCACTGAGAGCAGGGGTGCCTCCCCAGGTCTTTGGCAGCCCGGTGGAAGAGGGGGCTCGGGGTGCTGTCAGTCTCTGTAGGGATGCCAGGGGCCGACAGGCAGGCTGGCCAGAGATATTCAGTGGCCCCAACCTGGTCAGGGTAAGAAAACTGCCCAAGGCCAGAGTTTGGGCAACAGGCCACTGTAGACATATGAGCAATGCTTAAAAGCAGAGGGGGTGGCATGGTTTATCCCTTGAGGTCACTTCAGGAGATGACACCCCTGTGGCTGATGGAGGATTATGTGGGAGGTGGCTGTGGCTGGCCAGGCAGAGGAAACAAAAGTGACAACAGTTGGGGAGGGTCAGGGGTCAGGGCCTGGCTGGATCTGACCAGAGAGGAGGTTGTTCTCAGGGATATTTGTGAGGTGGGTGTGGGAGGAGGGGAACTACAAGGCCACACCAGGGGCCACTGCGTTTTCCATTGGTCACCCACATTGTTAGCCTAGGCTATGGATCCTGAGTGTTCTCTGTGGTCTTCCCGTGGTCCTCTGAAGCCAGTTCTCCACTATTCCTGCATCTCCATCCTTGTCCTGGTGTGCCCAGTCCCTGTTCCCAGAACTTGAGGAGCTTCTTAGACCTCCTGATTTTCTTCCCCTTACCAAAGACCCCAACCAGTGAATGTGTGAAAATACTCAGGAAGGAGAAAGTCTGAGAGGAAAATACATTGGCATCCTCAACTGAGACTGTTTGCTATGAAGGCTGAGGGCATGACCCAAAAAACAATATTCTTTGTTGGCTAAAAGGAGACCATTTGTCAGGAAAGACTGTGTGTGTGTATACGTGTGTGTGTGTGTACTAAGCTGATCGCCATTCATCACCTACACAAGGACATGGAAAAACCCAAGGGACACCTGTGTAGTACTGTCACCCAGTGAAGGAAAGGTTCAAGTTAGGGTGGGGGACTGAGGCCTTTGCTTAGAGGGACTAGGGCATCCTCAGCCACACAGCAGTGAGGACAGGGCTGGAGGTTGGCCAAGCCCTGCCCCAGAAGCAGCCACCACTCTAACCTCTGCTCCTTTGCCATTTCTGAGGCCATTAACCCTCCAGGGTACATTCTGTGATCCCAGGCTGGAGGCTGTGCCAGATGGTGAAGGCTGCCTGAGGCTGGAAGCTGGCTGTGGCTTCCAGCAGGGCACAGAGGCTCTGTGGGCAGAATATGGTGACCTGGGATCTCCACAGTCCTCAGCTCATCTCTCTCCTGACAGGCACAGCTACCTCTTCCCTGATACCTATGACCAGGCTGAAAGTCTAGTCTGTTCTGCTTCCTGATTACTTGAACGTCTGCCCACATCTCTGCCCTTTTGCCTCCATTGTCACAAGGGCAGGCAATAGTTCTAGTTCCAGTGGCTCTGTGTCTCCACTGCTCCCTGCCATTGGCCTCCTCTCTGCAGCCTTTGAGGTCTTGGTTACATGTAGCTGGGTTCCCTCCAGGCCCCTTACCTGCCTCTCCAGCTGTTCTCCGTCTGCTCACTTCTCTCCAGCCTTGTTGGCCTTCATCCCAGACACTGCAAGTTCTTTCCTGCATGCAGGACACCCCTTCCCACCTGCCCCCCTTCCCTCAGTTCTCAGCTCTGAGAACTGAGGCTACCTACTTAAGGCAACATGTGAATAGGGGGGGGGTTCCACCAGGGCAGGTGGCAACTCTGTGCTCACAGCCCCAGCTCAATCAACTTTTCTGGTTGGGAAGGGACCCTGAAGCTATGGCAGAGTCCCTGCCCCTTCTAGGGAGAGAGATGGGGACAAGATTGCTCCTGGGTACAGGTCCCCATGCCCTGCTCTCAGCCACAGGCAGCCTCATTTCCTTCCTCTGGGGTGGTGGTGTGCAGCAAATGGATGTCATCCCTGGAGGTCAGTGTAGGGGGAGAAATGAGTCCCCTCAGGGCCCAGCTGCTGGGCTTTGCCTGCTCTAAGAACTACGTGGAACCCCGAGACAGCAAACTAGCCCCTGCAACGCAAAGAAAAAGCTACCACATGTGGGTTTACTCTGTGTTTATCATTGTTCTAAGCACTTGACAGGGATTGTTATTTCATCCTCATAATCCACTGGGATGGGCTCCTGTCACCCCATCAGATTAGGAAACTGAGGTTAGGTGACTGGCCCAAGGTCACACTGAACAAATGAGAAACCAGGGTTCTGTCCCTTCTACTGCCCAGATGCTTCAGCCTGGAGGGCAGGTGCCAGGGGGGGGCAAGTTCCCCTCTTGGCCTAATTGGCTTTGGTTGGGGGCCAGCGCTGTGCATCACCTGTTTTCATCCCCACAGCAAAACTTCTGAGGCTAAGCTAGTGGCCTAGGGTCAAGGCTCCAGCTCTGGTACCCCTCCAGGGTTCCTGCATGTTCTGGTGTGTGTGTGTTGCTGGGCTCTTTCTCATTCGTCATGGCAAAGATTGGCAGGTGTCCTGTAAACACCAAGAGTACATGTCCCACTTCTTCAAAACCCTGTGTTCCCCTTGCTCCCAAGCCCACACTTGGCCCTCAGATCTGCCCCAGACCCTTTGTACCCCTAGGCTCCAGAGATCCCAGTGCTGTGAGATTGCTGGGTAGGGCACCCCGCCCCCCCCCAAAGGAGCAGCTCCAGGAACAGGACCTTCTAATTGGAAGGCCTTCTGTTGGCAAGTTACCTCCCAGTGTGAGCCAAACCCTGCTTGACTTTTACTCATGGAATCACCTGCACAGAAAAATGCCTTCTGCCTCCACAGCCAGGGGTTCCAGTTCATCTTGTCTGTCCTGCTCTCACATCACCTCCACTTGGCTCATATGATTCCCTGCTCCTGATCTGTGGTGGGGGAAGGGGTCCTGGACACCGGCCAGTTCAGGGCTCTGTGGCCTCCATACTCTGCAGGGCTTCCCACCTATGTCTGGATCCTGAAATTCCAGCAAGAGGACACCTTCCTCTGAGGTTCAAGGCTGTGGGGCCAGACGACCCTATGCCCTGGTCAGGCAGCTCCACTTTCTCTTGCCCCAGGGCAGCTGCCTCCCAGCCTGGGTAGTGAGGAAGAGGCCCCTGCTCAGAGCCTCAGGGGACCAGAAACTCAGGGGAAGTGCTCCACAAAGCACTTACCCTCAGACCATTTCACAGAAAACCAGGAGGGAGGAAGATGGGCCTAGCTACAGCTTGAGAGACAGACACGCGCTCAGGAGAGTCATCTCCCAGGCCCAACCAGTAGTATGGGGCAGTTCTCCACTCTGCCCACTCAGCTCTGCCTTCCAGGTGACCCTGAGGCATCCCCTCCAGGGTACTGGCCACAGGCCAGGTCTGGATGGAGCCCAGATGTTCCTTGGCCTGGTACCAGGCCTCTTGGAGAGGCTGACACTGTGGCTACATCTGGCTCACCCACCAGCCTGCCTGCTGTCTGGCTTCTCTGTCCTCCTGCCAATATCCTCAGGTGAGAGGTGGTCCTGATCTTCACAGAGGAGTGGCCATTACTTCCCACCCACAGATGGGCGCATACAGGGACAGGAGGCTGTGACAGGATCCAGTTTATTCTGCCTTGGGAGGGTGGTCCTGAGAGTGGCGGGTGCTACCCTGTCCCAGGCGGAGGGAGGGCCCAAGGGCCAGTTAAGGCCAGTGGCGGGAGAAGCAGGGGGCATGCAGCCCCTGGAATGCGGTGAGGCCAGGCTGAAGCCCGGAGGCAGCTGTGGTAGGCTGGGGCGGGTGCCCCTGCTGCCGAGAGTGGAAGGCACCGGGCTGGGACTGAGCCATGACTACAGGGCCGTGGACCCAGGCCACACGGGCACCCCGTGAAGCGGGGCACAGGGTCACATGACACAGAACATGAAACAGGCACATGGCTCATGAGTACGCACATGGACAAGTGGGCACAGATTCACAGGCTAGAGGGACACCCAGCTTCAGCTGGTGGACACCATGTAAGCACATGGACACAGTGGGGGTGTCACATGGACAAGGGACACACAACACTATGGGACAAACATACTCAATGGCCACAGGGGACAGGCCCAGGCCACGGAGTGCAAGGGACAAGGGAAGGGGACCTTTTGGCACGACTGCATTGGAATTAAGAGAAGAGGGTGGAGGGAACTGGTCTGGAGGCGCCTGGGCACAACCCCCACGCAGACCCTTGTGGTTCAGTCTGTCTTCCACACTTTGTTGAGCAGCTTCACCACCTCATCATAGATGATAAACACGATGGCTACGTCCAGGCAGACACGGCCCAGGCGAGGCACAGTACCCTTGTAGAATCTGGGGTTGGGTGGGAGAAAGAGGTAGGTGAGGAGGCAGGTGAAAGACAGTGGCCCTGGACAGTGGGGGTGTGTCCAGATGTTGGAGGGGCAAAAAACAGGGCCTAAAGGTAAGGACTCCCTAGGGCAGCGGTTCTCAACCTTCCTAATGCTGCCACCCCTTAATACAGTTCCTCGTGTTGTGGTGACCCCCAACCATAAAATTATTTTTGTTGTTACTCTACAACTGTAATTTTGCTGTTATGAATCGTAATGCAAATATCTTTTTGTTTTCCAATGGTCTTAGGCGACCCCTGTGAAAGGGTCGTTCGACCCCCAAAGGGGTCGTGACCCACAGGCTGAGAACCGCTGCCCTAGGGGCTGGCCTGGGGCTGGCAGGGGGTTTGGGGTGAGGCCCACAGGGAAGGCCTGTGGTAGAGACAACAGCTCTGCCCTTTCCCCACTCACGCTTTGGGCCCCTCATTCTTTAGGATCTGCAAGCCGCAGTCCCAAGTATTTCGGTATTTGTGTGCTTCCAGACCCTGCAAGACACCAGCATGCCACAGGACTCAGCAGCCAGCCCTTGTCGCAAGTTCCCCTCCCCCTTCCTGGTCCCATCCCACCTGCATTCGTGTCTTTATCACGTCCAAAGGAGTGTTTCCGAAGACACTGGCTGCACCTGCGATAGCTCCAAACACGCCGGTGATCAGCGGGTTCATGGGCTTGTTGGGATTATCCCCTGGATGTGGGCAGGGTTTGCAGTCAGGTGATAGGAAGGTAAAAGGGCCAGCTGAGGGCTGGGTAGGAGCATGGACCAGGGCCTATGAGGGTGGGGGACCCAGCGCGCAGCACTCTAGTAGGGAAGCTCCAAAATGTTTGGAGATGGGGTCTTTGGGCCGCAGATGCACGTACCTCGATACCAGTTGCGCAGGGAGGTCATGACGAAGAAGCGAATGGCCTGGTTGGATCCCTGCTTTAGCACGGTGGCAGTGAGGCCCTGGTATGTCCCCTTCAGCCCTAGGGACAGGTAAGCATGGGGTTACACTTGCACACAGGTTCCAGCTGGGGACTGCGGGAAATTTCATGCAGGAGCGCCAAGGTGGGTAGGGAAAGTGCAGGTTTTTTCCATCCTGGCTGAGGTCTCAGACCCCACCTGAGGAAGGCCAAGTGGCTCACCTTGTTCCCGCACAATCTCCCTGACCCCGTGGAAGAATCCTCTGTATTTTGGGTTGGGGGAAGTCTGGTCATGGATGAACTTCACCTAAGAGAGGGAAACAAAGGAGCTGGCTCTCAGGGTGTCACTGCAAGGGCACATTTGGCCTCTGGCTTGTAGGCCCAGAGCCCACCAACGTCAGGGTTGGAGGTGCAGCTCTTCACCTGCAAACAGGGCCACCCAAGGTCACTATGGGAGTTGAAGCCCAGAAAACAGGAGGGCGTGCCTCACTAAGAAGCCTCTGCAATTATGTCTACTGGTATTGTCCACAGCTTGGGCAGCAAACATGCAATATGTTTTCTATTTATAAAAGTGCTTTTTAAAAACTTATCATCTTTCCACTGCCTTCCAGACAGAGTTCAGCCTCCCAAGGCAGTTCCCCATGCACACCCTGCGCCCTCTCCTGCTGACCCTCCCCACCTGGATGTCTCCACAGGGCACAGGACCACCCCAGCTCCCCTCTGCATGCTTTGTCCCCTGCAGGGAACTTCCCACCTTGATGGTCTCCATGGGGCACACGACCACTACGGCCTCAGCCACGCCAGCGCCCAGGCCGCACAGCAGTCCCCGCGTGCTGTCCAGTCGTCCCTGGGCGTCCCGCATGTGATTGCTGAGGAACTCGAACATCCCGAACCTTGGGGCCGGAGGCAGTGGGGTGAGAGGCGCTGCTGCCACCCATGCCCCCCTCCAAAGGTTGCCCCCGCCCCAAGTCCGCCTCACCTGACAGCCGCCTTGGGGATGGAGCCGTAGAGCAGGGAGCTGAGGCCTCGGTACAGGCCCAGGACGCCATGGCTGCGGACCGTCTGCCGCACGCAGTCCCCTGGGGGAGGGGGCGGTCAGCGACCCCTGAGGCCCCCGGAGCCCGCCCCCTGGAGCTCCCCGCCTTCGCCCTTTGCTTACCAATGCCCCGGTAGCGCGGTGGGTGCGAGCGCTCGTCCAGCTGCAGTTGCGTCTTCACGTACTCGGTGGGGAAGGTGATGCAAATTTCGATGCCGCCCGCCAGGCCGCCTGCGGAGACCAGGTACCCGGGTCCTGAGACCCCTGCCCCACCGCCCCGCCCGCCGCCTCCCAGGTCCCTCCCCCACCCCGGACTTTGTCCAGCCAGGTCCCCACGCCCCGCCCCCGTTGTCTCGGCGAGGCACGGAGGGGCGACACGCAGGGCCAGCTCCCGCGCGCGACCTGGCTGGGGACCAGGGCCGCGCCCCCGGCCCGACCCGGAAGCGGGGCGGAGCCTTGGCGTCCCGGGCCCACCCGGAAGCGCGGTGGGGACAGTGGGGCGGGTGGGCTGGGGGTCCGCGTCCCCGAGGGGCCCACCTGCCAGGATGGCCTTCCCAGGGTGCGTCAGCTTGGCCTTTCCGGGCGCGGGCGCAGCGGCCGCCAGAGTGCGGGGCGCGGCCATGGCGGGAAGGCGGGAAGCGGGAGGCGGGGCACCCGGCATCGGCCGCGGGTCCGAGCCTCCTGCGCTTGGCGCTGTCCACCGAGGCGGTGGTGGCTGCCGGTTATGTCTGGGGGCGGGGCGGCCGCGTCAGCTCCCGGGCTCCGCCCCGCGTGGTCCGAGTAGGGCCCCGCCCCCGCCCCGCCCCTCGTCGGCTGGGAAACTGAGGCCGGGGCGGGGACGTCAGCCTAGCCAATGGCCGAGCCCTGTCTCCTGACAACCGCCTGCGGCGAGGCTGGGGGCGGGGTGCTTGGAAGGCAGCGCTGCGCCCGGCCCGGAGCTGTAGGTCAAAGTGCTGTCTCCTAAGTCCGCCCGGACATCAAACGAGCCGGGCGCGGGAAGGAGCGGGCTTGGGGTCCGCGTCTGCCTTGAGCGCCAGGGTCCCCGGAGATGGGGGTGGAGAGACATGTGCGCTAGCCCCATCCTCGCTGTTTGAGGGTTTGGCCTTCCCACACCGACGGGTAGAGCGGTTACCACTTCCCTTACAGGATTTACAGCTCCGTGCCGTGCACACGATCGGGAAAACCCCTCCAATACACCCTGGCTGTATCCTGACCTAGGTAGCTTTTCTGGGCGGACGCAGGTCCCCCACCCCCAGAGGTCCCAGCAAATCTCCTGTCCCCTCCTACCCACACCAGCACCAAGCAGGGAAGCTTTGCCTTGATAAACTGACTTTAATATTCATGATCGGCAGGAGGCTCAGAGCCAGGTTAGACAGTCTGTTCAACTGTGTCTGCAAAATGACCTGGAGAGGGCAGCTCTGCCAGTGCTGAGTGAAGAGAGGGCGCCCATTCCCCCAAGCGCCGTAGACCCCTTGTAGACAAGAACTCCCCAGGATGCCTGGCTCCAGCCAGAAGGTCAGGAGACTCGAATTGACCTCCCTGTCTGGCGACTGGAGATGGCTGGTCTTCTTGGGTTGTCAGGGGCTACCTTGACCTTCCCATGTTCTGGGATGGCTCAGTGGCTGCCATTATTGGGTCCCAGCAAAAATAAATAACATCCAGGTGTCTCCGCCTTTCATCAGGGTCCTCTGTACTTCTGGGGTGACACGCTTCTTGGAGAGGTTAATAACTCAGCAGAGGGAGTGTTTCCACTGAGCACCCACTACACGTTGAAGCTGTACATGGGAGACTGGGTGAAGGCGGGAGCAGTGGCATAGCCATAGGGGAAGCCAGCAGGGGGTGGGCCTGTAGCGGGGTCTGCTGTCAGCATCAGCTGCTGGCCTGCAGAGGGAGAAGCTGAGGGTGAGCAGGGTTCCTGCTGCCCCCGAGTGGCCAGGGGCCCAAGGAGCAGGGCTGCAGACCAGCCCAGACCACCCAGAGACTGAGGCACAGAGAGCATGGTGCCTGGAGGCAAGGACTGTGGGAGCTGCTGTTGTGGGGCCAGGCCCAGAAGCTGCCCAAGCTAGAGAGTAAGCTCGTCCCCAAGTGGGGCACTTACTTAGCTCCAATGACTGGGTCTCACTCATGCCCATCAAAATCTAAAAAAACCAGATTGACATTAATGGTGGGTAGGTACAATGACCTCGGAGGAGCACACAGTTGGTGGGAGACTCACGCGCTGCGTGCTCATATTACAACCTCAGGCCTAAGTTAGTCCCCAAGCGTACTCCAGGACCCAACAGCCTCTCTGTGCAGTGGACACCAAATGATCCGTGTGCTCAATGGCCAGGCCATTCAGGCAGGCTCTCAAGCGCAAAGCCAACAACAAACAGCCTTACTGTCAGGGGCCAAGCAGGGCAGCACACAGCAGCAGCTCACAGCGAGACAGTTGCCAGGCACATGGAGCAGACAGGAGCACTCCCACCAGAAGGCAGTTGCCTTCAGATCAAGGAGGACAGTGGCAGTGAGTTTTCAACATTCTTGGACCACTGACCGTCTCTACACCTGGCAGCCATCATGGTCCTTCATCCCCCACCCTGTCCATTCCCGCCCCAATCTGAAGCCCAGCCAGGGAAGGGCGGTATGAATTGCGTCCCCTCCCTAGAGGACAGGAAACGGGCTATAGGATGCCACCTACCAAACAGGAAAGGGGTGGGCTCCACTACATGCTCCTCTCGCTTGTGTAGACTCTCTGAGGCGTCCAGTCTGTCCACCTGCAAAGAGGCAAGAGCACATGAGTGTCTGCCTGACAGGCTATATGCAGTCTGAGCCTGGAGGCGAACTTGGGAGGCAAGCACACAGCCTCCAGTAGAGTTAGAACTGAGGACAGGCACACGGGGTACTGCTGTACCAGCAGTGACCACTGCCTCCCTCCACAAGGTGAAGCCTCTGTAACCAGGAGATGGGAGTGCCCAGCAGGGCAATGGTGAACTCTAGCCGCTGTTCTAGCCCACCAGTTTCCAAGTGGGCATTTGGCCGCCAGGCACATGGGAGCAGTGGGCTGTGACTGCAGGCTGCGAGTGTGGCATGGCTCACAGGACTGAGTCCTCCTCTGGACACAGGGATACCGCCAAGACAATATAGTGGTTCCTGCTTCCAGCCATTCCAGGCTGTCTGCCCCTCTTAAGGAGACTAGTCACCTGACACCTGGGACCTTCCACCTGGCATGGAGGATGTACCACCTGAGAGGTGAAGCTGTGACAGCCATCTGAGGACAAGCTGCACACTGCCCTTCCTCGAGCCTTCATCACATGCTGCTCTGTGCAGTGCTCACAGGCTGGCACAGACAGATGGAGAAGGAACAGAGTGAGGTGGTGCCATGGAGGACATAGGGCGGACAGCACTGTGCTAGTAGGGGGGTAACAACTGTGTGTCTGGGCCTCCTAAACAAGCACTTGAGTAAGAAAGAAGAAATAATTATGTGGCCCATGTACAATCAGGTCTGGGAGAGACAGCTCTGACACCAGTCCTGTGCACTCCTCTCATCTTCCTTCCATGGGACCCGGGTGGAGGGGAGGAAGGAGCAGGACAGCCATTCTCTCACAACCTGTCCTCTGCCTCAGCTCGCTCTATTGGGAGAGCCTCGGAAGTCGGAGGGTTCTCAGAGGGATGGCCTTTGAGCTTTGCAGATGAGTCAAGAGGCCCAGGACCGAGATCTCGTCAGGAAGGGGCTGTGGCCTTCCTGTCTGGGCCTCTCCACCTCAAAGCAGTGTCTCGTCTGCTGGGTCCCTGCCCAAGCCAGCAACCAGCCCACACCCCACCACTACCTCAGAAACCCATTCTCTCCCTACCATGGTAGGCACCTAGTTGGGTGCTGGTGGAGGTACAGGGGGCAGGATTGAGGGAGGCACCATGGGAGCCCCTGCCTTCTAGGACTAGGGAAGGTGTCTGGGGACCCCAGGCCAGGGGACACGGTCCTTCCAATGTGGCCCATGCACACTGTACCACCCTGGCTTAGCTGGGTGGCCACAGTGCGGACCAAAGTGACAACAGCTGCCAAGATGAGCCTGTCATTTGCCACAGAGAGGGAGCATACTCCCCAAGTCCTCGGGGGGGGGCGGGGAAGGGGAGTCCTGGGGGCCCAACCCCTGTAGCAATGAAGGTCTAAATGGCCAAAGTTCCTCTTATGTTAACCCATGGACCTCAACAACAGGAAGAGATTCAAGCCACATTCTTCCTTCTTTATGCAGGGGCTCAGAACAGAGTATTTCCAGGTTAAGACAACTTCAGGGTGGAAAAAGCAGCCCATTGTGGATAAAGCAGTTTCCATGGACAAGCTCCACAAAGCACAGACACCTCCTGTAGAGAGCTGTAGTCCACTGTGGCTGAGGAACCAGGGACCCGTGCAAATTCAGTCAGTCCATGTAGCTCAGGCCACATGGCCAGGGCTGCCCCTCCCGGTCCCCTGGAGGGGCGGTACCCTCCCACTCACATGTGCTGTGTGGATGGACACACCCTAGTCGTCCCTTCTCCTGCATCAGGGTGATGGCCTGGAATGGCCCTGGGACAGCCCTTGCCAGGGCCTGGGCAACTCCCAGGCTCTGGAGGCAGCAGGCAGAGCAAGTCCTTGTGGGCCAAAGCTGGCAGCCCCAGACACCTCAACCCCCACTATACTTCCTATTTCTTCCTTAAGCCCCTGGGAGGCCTCTCCCTTCCCTGCACACTGAAAGAAGCCGCAGCTGGTGGCTTCTTGGCATTGTGGGGTCTCCATCTGGCTGGAAGAAGGTTAGGTATATGGCTATATGGGCAGGTAGGCACTGCTGAGTGATGGCTTTCTGCAGTCTCAGAAAGAAATCAGACCAGACGACATGGGTTCCTGGACAGTGGCTACAGGTAGGCCCAGACAGTCACTCCTAGGGCTTTGACACCCAGGAAGTTAAAATCAGACACTGCCGCCTCATTTAACAGCTCATCAACCTGCAAAGAAAGCCACAGTGGGACACTAGGGACACTACGTGACATGTGGAGTGGCAGAAGCAATGTGCCAAGATATGAGTATGGCCAACACATGAGTATGGCCCCTGGGCCAGGGAGATGTGGATCTGAGGCCCCCCTTTACCTGTCAGCTTTGGACCTGAACCCCACAGTCTATAGGTAGAGGGGATGACTGCTTCCCTTGTCAAGGTGTTAAAGGCTTAAATACGTGTTAACATTCTTATTAAGTGCCCCTCTGCTGGCCAATAGCTGGTGCTGAGAGGTAGGTGGCCTGCAGTGTGTGGAAGAACTGCTGTGAGAGTGGCAAACTGGGCTGGCTCCCAGTGGGCCACCACAGGGCCTCTGCAGACCAGGGTCAGAGTCTTAGCCAGGGGCCAGGGAGCCATGGCAGGCAGGTACTTACTTTGCTAAGGTACTCCCTCATCACCTGGATGAAGTAGGGCATGGCCAGGTCCATCAGGTTGTGCCTCCAGGCCAGCTCTAGCACCACATCCGGGGGAAGCAGGTCATAGCAGGTGAACAGACAGGCTGCGAAGCACTCCTGCTTGCCCTCCTCCAGGAACCACTGCAGCAACTTCTCAGCCAGCTCAGCATCCCTTGACTCTGCAGCGTGCTGCATGGCGTCCTGCAACCGAGGCAGATGCACAGCTTGGCCACCCTGCCATCTGCCACTTGAGGCACTTTCTGGCTGAAAGGGCATAGGAGCAAGTGCCAAGCTCCATGAAAGCCCTTACCTCACTCAAAGAGGGTTCCCTGTGCCTCGGCTGCTCTCTGGCAGATGAAGTACCATCTCCAGGAGGGCTGAGGAGGGCACCGAACATGGTCCTGGCAGCTGGCCCTTGCAGAGCTGCTGAAATGCCCAGAAGGAGGTGGCACACACGGTACAGATGCCCTGGGAGATACACTTCAGCCTCAGAGCCTGATGGCATGCAGAGGGAGTGCATGAACACTGAAAGGATGGTGACAATGCCAGCAAGGCCTGCTGTGAAGGCCAGCGTTGCTATGATCAGGGCAACAGCCAGCTATATCCTTCTAGAATCAACATGGAGCAGCTATGAAGGACACAGCTAGTGCTCAAGAAATAGAGATTTGCTTTTTCTTCCCGACATAAAAAAGTCCCTCAAAAATCCCTAATCACTACGTTCATACTTGTAAATATCTTTGTCTAAAATAGCGGTTCTCAACCTTCCTAATGCTGCGACCCCTTAATACAGTTCCTCATGTTGTGGTGACCCCCAACCATAGAATTATTTTTGTTGCTACTCTATAACTGTAATTTTGCTACTGTGATGACTCGTAATGTAAATATCTTTTTGTTTTCTGATGGTGTTAGGCGACCCCTGTGAAAGGGTCGTTCGACCCCCAAAGGGGTCGGGACCCACAGGCTGAGAACCGCTGATGTAAAACATAATTTATAAAATCATCCCCACCCAGTGAGTAGTCATCAGTAAATTAGCAATTTCTGAGTCAGCTCCCTTAGCCTCCACGACAACCCTCTGCACACCTGACTGATGAGAGGCACAGCTGGTGCCAAACACAATTTGGTTGCCACTAACTGTGAATGCTGCTGCCCAGAAACAACGGTTGGCTGCCATTGTGGTCACTGCTCCTCAAACCCACTCGATCACCTCTGACATGAGGTGCTGAGGTCTTTCTGGAGACTGAAACGAGACCCAAAGGCCAGCACCTGGAACCCTGCCCCTTGCCCCTCCTCCAAGAAGGATCCACTCCCACCTGCTTGCTGCTGTTTTCAAGTCCTGCCTCTTCATACACTGTTCATACAAAGGCACCAGGTCTCTTTCTCTCTCTCTTTTTTTTTTTCATCAGAGTCAGTGGATACTCAAGTGAAAACTCCAGTACACCTTCAGGTCATGTCTCCTTAGGCTTCTGATGCCACCGTGCTGCTCTCTGTCCTCCAGCTGGGCCTACTCCTGGCTGGTCTGTCTTCTACCCGTACCTAAAACCTCTTCCCTTCCTCCACAGGCTTTGGGGACTACTAGCTCATGAACTTGCACAGCTTCAACTGCCATCACCAGAAAGTGGATGTTTCCAGAACCTGGCAGCTTCCTAGAAAACTCAGGTGCAGTGAGTCCCACAGATGATCCCTGTCTATGCCCTTCTCCCACAGCCAGGAACTAAGCACGAGTCTGGGATTCTCCCACACCTGCCCACTTCTCATAACCACACTGGCTGTGTCACTATGAGGGCATCTCTCCACCTCCTCCCAAATCATTGCTAGCTCCTGACAGGGCCCCACTCCAGCCCCTTGCCCTACCATTTCTGGCCTGTGACTTTACCTCTGTAGGCTCCTGTACTTCACTTTGGGCATGAGGGGCCCCTGAATCTCTCGCCTGTCTGTGCACCTGTGTGTGGGCCCCCTAGCCCTCACCTGCCCGTGTCCTGACACCTTCCCTCACACCCTGCCTGTCCCGCTGTTCCTCAGCAGTCCAGTTACTGTCTCCTCCGCTCAGCTGGTTCCTCAGGTAGAGTGTGCATACCTCGAGGTGTTCACCCCTGACAGCTGACAGCCCACCGTGCTGTCACATCCACCTCTGCACTCTGGAAAGCATGCTTCTTGCTGCTCCACGACTGTCCCAGGAGCCAGTGGTGACGACTCATCATCCCGGGGTGGCATGCTGTGACCTCCCACTCTCCTCGGACTTTCACCCAGTGTGGGCCCCCTGCCGGGGCACTGCTGAAACGTGCGCGCGCACTGTGGGTTCTTTAGCACCACCCTTGCCTCCACCTACTTGATGTAGCACTGAACCCTAAGGTGTGACAACCAAATGTCCTCTGGGGGTCAAAGTCACTCCCAGCTGAGAACCACTATGCTGGAAAGTATGCCAACCAACTTTCTGCCAGTGGCTTTGACCTGGGTTCTCTTCCTGGGGCATACATACCACTCTGAGTGGCACTGCTGGTTGGAGGAGAATGGATTGCCCCTCTGGCAGTGCTCACGGCACTGCTTGCTCACGCACTTCCTGCCCCAGTTGGTGAGGAGCCTGTGCATTCAAGACCCTGGTGTGTACCTGGCAGGACAGGGCCGTTGTTGACTCCATCCCAACCCAAGCCGGGGGCAGATTCGTTCCGGTGTCAGAGCCCCGCTGCCACCTTCCAGGGCCAGCACCTGAACACTTTGACATGCTGTCCCACAGCTTCTGTGGCATTTTCTTTTAGTTCCTCTACAGGGGTCCTGCCGGCATTCCAGGAAGAACCACAAACACTGTCACTAAAAGCGAGGAGATATCACCTAACAGCCCCAAACTGGAGGTGACAACTTGGGGAGCAGCTCAACATGCCCTGGTCTTAGCCCATGTGCCATGAGAGGGAGATGCCTGTGTTGGGCAGAGGATGGCAGCTGTCAAGTGTCCTGGGAAGGTATTCAGGAGTGCTGAGGACAGCTCTGGGAGGAACACCCTCACGTCAAGCACATGGCCTGAAGAGTGGTTCCTGGGGGCTCCTGGCACACAGAACCCTTGGAAGTCAGCTCAGCCGTGCACAAGGTTGTGCAACTGCACTTTGCCCCACTGGGGAGATGCCAAGCAAAGTGATGGCAAAGCCTTCTGGGCCTGGGATCTCTCCAGCTGCCTACCCTGACTAGCAGATGCCTGGACTAGGATCTGGACCCGAAGGTGGTGCCAAGCCACCACTCAAGAGCAGAAACAAATATTTTGAACATGATTTTTAACTAAGGTGTTTTTAATTCCCCAAATCTTGATAGGAAGCAAAACAGGTGCCAAGTGAACAATACCATGCTGTGTTTAGGGAGAGTGAAACTCACATATAACTGCTGGGAAAAGACAACTGCATGAGAACAAGTATTGCAAACCAAATAACTTTTCAGGGCTGTAAGTTAATGACAGATAATGATCCTCCAGATTGCTCCCACCTCTTAGCTGATGTTCTAAAAATGCTGCCCTCTAATTTCATCCTTCCTGCCCCCACCGCAAGGGTCTCCTGGTGGAGGGTTGTGACCTTCCCCACCACCAACCCCAAGCATCGGGAAGCACACAGGGTGGGTAGGGCACTGGGACTTACCTTGTAGAGATGATCCTTCTTGCAGAGCTCCACACTCTGGGCCCACCGGTTGTTGCCCTTGTACAGATAAGCGGCAATGCGCCTGAACTCGATCAGCTGGTGCTTCTCCAACCGCTGCGCCAGGGCGATGTTATCGAAGTTGTCATAGGCGTCAATAGATGCTCTCAAACCCTAGGAGGACATGGCCTTTCCTTGGGTGAGGGGTATGGTGAGCAGGCACCAGGCATTACTACTGACTGCCACCTCAGCCTCAGAAAGGCCCCTGCCCATCTACCCGTGGTGCTCCTTGGGGCACACACCCCCTCCTATGCAAGGGCAGCCTGCTGAGGACACACTGGCTGGTACAGACAGGAGGATCTCTCCAGTTCCTGAGCATCCAAGGCCAGCGTCATGGGTCCCAAAAGCACAGGAGAAGCTGCTGCTGCCTCCTGCCAGGGCTCCTTCTCCCACACCCACCTGATAATCCTCCTCTTCTGTCAGCAGGTGGTTGAGGGCCTCATTCACACTCTTGTTGTTGTGGCTCTGGACTGACCGCAGATAAGGCTTCACCAGAGGCAACTGGCCTGCCTGACATCGGGAGAAGAGAGGGCACTCAGACAAGTCTTCAGGAAACCACTTGGCTGAAAGCCCCTTGACACACTGATGGGCCAGTGTGTACAGCCCAGCTCTAGCTCTCCTTAGGACACCTAGAACCAACCAGCTCTATGCGCACTCATGCAAAAAGGGTTGCCTGGGTTACTCAGCAGATGCCAATTTCATCTATGGAATTTATAGCTGGCACGCAAAGCTGTATCTGAAACTTAAATCAGTTTGATATACTTAATCTTTAGATTGTCTGGGGGTCAATTTCAAAAAGTTTATTATGGTACTACCATTCAGATGACTGTGGCCCCCACATGCCCTTCTCTGGGGTTCTGGCTGACTCACCTTTGCAAAGAAGCCCACAGTCCGGGTGTGGTCCAGCCGGGGCGCCAGCACAATCAGCAGGTCATTGATGAGCAGGGGTTTGTAATCCAGATAGAACTGCAGGGCTTTGTAGTAGAGCTCCACATTGGCAACCTGCAGGTGGGTGGGGCAGAGCTGGGGTCAGTCGTGCGGTCCTCACCCCCACCGCTGCCTCAGATGCTGCACACTCCTTCTGGTCATGACCACCTCTTAGAAGACTGGGCAGCCCTCCCAACACACCCCCTTTCCCACCCCTGTGACATTTTTCTCCTCAGCACTTGCTAACCGATGCCCTAAGATGCAGGCTTTTGTTTCCTGCCTCACCTGGCACCCACCCTGTAACTGAAGTGGCCAATGCTCAGCTACTACCTGTGGAATGAATGAAGGTAGAAGCCAGAATATACACAAGGACCAAAACATGGTTTTATCCAAGCAAGATTCCCCAGCCCTCCTCAGGAGGCTCAGCCTAGCCTGAGCTGCAAGCAATGCATCCTATCACATCCCAGATACTCTCCAACAAGACACTGCAGTGCTCAGACTGGGGAGCCTGGCCTGCAGAGGGCTGAGTTGCTCTGGGCTGACCCTGTGATCCCGGAAAGGATGTCCTCCAGGTTTGCTGACTGCAGGGTCTGGCATTCAGGGGAGATCAAGGTGGTTTCTGCCCTCCAGTACGACATGTGCGGAGGTCCAGGGGTGCACACAGGGCACAGGATGCTAGAGCTATGCTGGGTGGAGGGGTGGGTGTGGTGGGAGCCCTCCAGCCACCCTGGGTTCAGGTGAGCCAGCAGCAATGTGGGGCCCAGGGACGTCTGCAGACCAAAAAGGTGGAGGAACAAGACTGTCCACAGCCTCAGTTGCCACTGATACTCTTGCTGGTCCCTGATAGCTTTACCTCCTCTTCATTCCCTGACTCGGAAGTGCCCCTATCCATCCAGAGCACTCGCTTCACCACAGATTCTAACCTAGATGGGCTTGGGGGTCCTTAGTGCCTGCCCTCAAGGGCACAGAGGGGAGTGGTGACCTTCCCTGCCAGGCACGTTTGTATCAGAGCTCTGAAACCTGTCATTCTTCCAGGCTGGCCCTTTTACTCAGCATCAGACTAGACTAAGCAGAAGGGGCTGTCAGGATGTAAGGTGGGGTCAAGAGGCTCAAGTTAACCTTCAGTGGTGAGTTGCCTCCTCTAAGCCCCACTGGCAGGCCCCTGCCAGCAACACTTGTAGGATGACTGTGGGACAAGAGAGGATTGTGTAAAAGGATAAGGCCATCTTGCTGAGGCTCTCCCTGGGTGCATCCTGTGCCCCTGGAGAGGTCTTGACCTTCTGCAGGCAGGAGAGCAGGCAGAGGTGGTGGTGGTTAAAGGAGTTTCCTCCTCAGGGCCACACAGGACAACCTGCTCTCCCTGCCTTTTAAACGAGTCCATGCAGCCTTCACGGAAGCATGGCCAGAATGCCCCATGTCTCTCTGGGTGGACAGCTTAACAGAACACAACTTGCCATGCTCTCTTCCCTTTCCTGTGATGACCATAAGGCTGGACAAGAGCTGGCCCAGCCACTCTGGGTGGGCGGGTCCAGAACACGTGTCCTGTTGGGCTGAGCTGCTCATGTGGAGGCACCTGGTGCTCTCAGGATGCAGCAGTTTCACGACCCTCTGGGCTGACAGTTGCTCCTGTTGGCGCACTGGCGACCACGAGGTGCCCTCCTCTGGAGCAATGCACCAGGATGGGAGCACTGACAAGGCCACAGCCACCGCCATGCCTATGGTGTGCATGTTGCACACCCTGTCTCCATGAAGCCCCGGGCCCAGGACAGGGCATCAACTCTGTTTTGCAGAAGAGAAAACCAAGGCTCAGAGATTCTGTCCAAGCTCAAGGGTGACCAGCCAGTGCACTCTGGTTCCTAACACGTATTGCACTGCTGTATGCGGGGCACCTGCCACCAATCACTTGGTAGGCAGGAAACATTATGCATACTTCATGGATAGGGTAACTGAGGTTCACAGTGATGACACCAGCCCAAAGTGACAGAAACAGTGAATGACTGAGCCAGGATGCCACCCTGATCTGTGTCAGCAAGGCCCCTGCCTGGCCCTCTACCACACAGCCTGGTAGCTGGGTGATTACAACATCCTCTCATGTGTCGAGTGTGGACCATGTCCCCTTTGTCAGGCCACCACACCAGCTATTGTCCTTCATTCCTCCTCTCCTCCACAAAGCAGGTGAAAGGAATCTGTCTCCCACATGCAGGAAGGCAGAGACATCAGTGCGTCACACTAAGAACAGGACTAGGCCATTAGCTGCACGAACACTGCTCTCCCATACGACACAGTCTCATCTGTGAGCGTGAAACCAGACCTAAGACTCCGTGCTGACCTCCACCTCTCCTCAGGAATCTGCTGATCCTGACCACCACCAAGGTGGGCCTCATGCAGGCCAGATGTCCCTCAGTCACCTGGACAACCACAATGTCCAGATCCTACTAAGAAACAAAAAGCATTGCCACCTCAACCATGGCATGTCATCAACTTTAAAATGCATCCTGGGGGCCGGCCGAGTGGCACGATGGTTAAGAACTGGCTTGGGATGCCAGAGGGCCCCGGTTCGGATCCCACATACGAGGGCCAGTGACACTGCCCTCCACAGCTAAGATGCTGAACAACAGCTCAACCTGGAGCTGGGCTGCTGAAGAGTCACTGGTCACGGTGTAGGCTGCAGCCCCTGTGGCAGTGGGTTGCCATGGGCTACCGTGTGTGGCCAGCAGCCAGCGAGAGCGGCCAGCAGCCACAGTGAGCAGCCGTCCAGAAGCCGGTGACTGATCTGCCTCGCCCGGGAAGAGCGCAATGGTGGTGCCAACTTGGGCCAGTGAAGCAACATCCTCCACAACTAGATTTAAGAACAAAACGACAGAAACTTGTCTGTTCCCATCCCCCCAATTCCCCCAAAAAAATCTTTAAAAATGCATCCTGGTATCAGAGGAGTTAAATGTGAAAAAAAGAACTGATCAGGTATGAGTTTTCTAGCATGTTTTTCACATGTGCCAGCGCACAAGAATGCGTGATCTGCCACCTTTCCACCAGCAACCGGAAAACCCCATTCAGGGTTGGACATCCTGTCAGACAGCCAGACTTCACACCACCACGCCGATTAGTGTGGACATGTGTGACCTTGGGGCTGACTGTTCCTTCTAATAGCTCCTAGTAAGAGTGGGTGCTGAGACCTGCCTGGGTGTCTCTGCCCAACACCAGGCCTGCCCTCAGCAGCCATATGTGGAACAGAAGGCAAACGACCCCGAGAAGAGGAGCCCACGCCCCACCTGGGAGTGGTGGGATAAACACGCAGTCAGAACACTTCCTCTACTGGCACACAGCAAATGGGAGAGGCCTGAGGGCAAATCACCCAAGGCCACTGAGACAAAACAAGGACACTCAAAGCAAAAAGCCCAGGAACTGAAAACAGAAAGCTTCATCCTCTTACCATCTAACATGCATGCAGAACTCACAGGGGAGGAACAATCCAGAGACCAGAAACACAAAATAGCAGAGAACCACGTGATGCTTGAACTCAGACCTGACACCTTCTAACAGTTTTTGGCGGCTGGTGTTAGCCCAGCTAGGCTATAGGAAGATGGCCACAGCTGGGAAGGGTGGACGCCCAGGAGCAGACCTGGGCTCAGGCCTCCACCTGGAAGGTGTTTACTGGCACTTTGTCAGGTGCCTGCAATTCTCTGGGGCTGGCAATTTTGGCGGGAGAGACATGAAGGAAAAAAATGTCACGTGGTGAAAAATATATATATAAAAAAAATACAACAGGAAAAAGTGGTAGACAGGGTCTGGGGCTGTGAATCCTCAGCTGAAGGGGGCAGAAGGAAGAGCAAACAGCAAGGTCTGGCTGCAAAGGGCCCAGCATGGGAGCATGGCAGGGAAAGTGTGGTCCTGAGAGGCAGGAGGGGCAGGCGGGGCTGCAGTGGCACACTGATTTCCCCTGCCCTCAGCCTAGCTGTGGGGGTCCTAGGCCAGTCATTACCCTTCCTAAGCAGTTCCCTTTGTGCAGACAAAATCACCACCAACTGAGCAGAGGTGTAAGCATGCCTTGGGGCGGCACACTGGTGTTCATTCCAGGGCCCCAGGACAGGCCTGGCAGAAGCAGGCAGGAACTGGCATGCTCACGTGCCTTCTTACCTTGGCAATGACATCTTTGAATTGCCCTTCTCTCCAGGCATCAGTAGGGTGACTGATCATGGTGAGGACAGCATTGTCGTACTCCTCGTACTTGTCGTAGAGGAATACCAGCTCCGCCCAGAGGTGTGCCTGCTCTGCGGCTCTCAGCACCTGGCAGGATGGCCGTGGCCGAGGGTCAGGCTGCTGCCACATGTGCACATGGTAGCCAGAACCTCTAGGAAGGCCGGATTACCTTTGGGATGTTGACACGGGACCAGAAGAGCTCCAGGTGCTCTGGCATCTTCTGCGGCTTGAACTTGGAGTAGAGGATGGCCAGCTCTGTGAACATGCCCATGTGGGCCCGCTCTAGGCCCAGGGCTGCCTCCAGCAGGGAGATCAGCTCCTCAAAGTAGCCCCGATCCTGACAGACCAATAGCCACGCTTGAGGTTGCGATAAATACACCTGATAGCAGCCTCCCTAAGGCAGAGCCCACTCCCAAGGGAGGAAGGTGTGCAATGGCTGCAGCCCCTTGTGCCTAGTCCAGGGGTCGGCAAACTGCCACTCCTGAGCCACATACAGCTCTTTGGGTGTGTTCTGTCTCAAAAGTTTGCTGACCCCTGGAAGAGCCAATCTTGTCCCTCACAACAATTTAAACATTATTCGAGAGCCATAAATATATTTTTACATAATCACATTATGTGAATAATATCCTTTAAAAATTTTATAAATGAAACTACGATAGTTTTATTTTCATTTTCAATTTTACTTCAGAGCCACATGTATGTACCCAAAGAGCCGCATGTGGCTCACGAGCCGCAGTTTGCTGACCCCTGGTGGCTCTTCGGTCTCAAAAGTTTGCCAACCCTTGCTCTAGCCCGAACTCCCTCTCGGTCGTCCACCCTGGTTACAACCTGCCCAGCAAGCCTGAACTCTTGAGTCTTACTGGCTTCCTTCACATTAACGACCATAAACTTTACGGACCACCCCCAGAGGACTATTTCACACCCTCCTCATTTCCATCTTCACTCTCTGCAGATAACCTTGCTGCTTCATTGAGAAAATGGAAACCATTAGAAAAATGCCATGTCTACCCACTTTCCAACACCTGTACCGGCGTTGTTTACAGGCACGCCTTTTGTGCTACAACCCACCAGACTGGAGCTCTAAGTCCCATCCCTCCCACCTACCACGGCCTGTGCACAAGCAACTCCTCCCTTTCTCTTGGCATGAGCATCCCTCTCTACAGCTCACCTTCAGTAAAATCCTGCTAATTCTCTATCCCAAAATGCACGTTCTTGACCCCATGTCCCATTTTTCTACTCCTCTTTGGAGCAAAAACTCCTCAAAAGAGCTGTTCCCATTTCTCTTCCTGCTCTCAAGAACCTACCCAGTCAGGCTGTCTTGCCCCAGGACTCATGGTCACCAGTGTCCTCTACCCTTAGTTCTTCTCCTGCCACCTGCTGGGCAGCAGGACCCACCCATTGACTACGCCCCCTCCTGCGTGCACCTGTTAATCTGGCTGCTCAGAAATATCCTCTCTGGAGTTCCTTCCTACTTTACTCCAACTCATGTGGGAGGCCAGGCTCAGTCTGTGGCCTCTTCTTTATCTACACTCACCCCAGGTGATCGCAGTCAGGCTTTGTGTGCCCTTTATATGCCAATGGCTCCCATTTTATTTCTTTAGCTGGGTTTCTTCAATGAACACCAGACCCTATTTCCCACTGTCTACTTAACAGCTCTACATGAACATACAACTGGCAACTCAAACTCAGTCGTATGTTCAAAACTGAATTCCTGTCCTTCCCTCTACAAAGCCCCCACCTTTAGTCTTTCCCATGCCCACTGGTGATAACTCTCTACTTCCAGTTCACACTAAAAATAAATGGAGTTGTCCTTGACTTTTCTCTCTCACCCCACACCCAATCCACTAGCATATCAAGTTGGCTGTACATTCAAAACATGCACCCCCAACCTGATCACCTGATCAGTTCTCACCTCCACATCACCATCACCCTAACTGCTCTCCCAGGTCCCACTTGCCCCTCTGTCTGCCCAACCTTGAAGAGTCTGTTCTCAGCACTCAGGCCAGAAAGGCCTCCTCTATCTTCAGGTCCTGCATGCTACCTTGAGTACAGCCTGAGTCATTCATGATGGCCTTGGCCCCTCACCTCTGTCCCCCGCTTAAGGGCCCTTCCTTGAATACTTGGCATGTTCCTGCCTCTGGACTTTGCCCTGGTAACTGACCCTTTCCTCAAACATCCCCACAACCAGGCCCTGTGATTTCTCCAGGTCTCTGCTCTACGTCACCCTCTCAGTTAGTGCCACTTTGAGAGCTCCTCTATGAAACTCCACCCAAGCACTCCTAGTCCCTACACCTGCTCCATTTCCCCCATAACTCATCACCTTCAAACATGTTTGTTGGGCCGGCCTAGTGGCACGTTGGTTAAGAGCTGGCTTGGGACGCCAGAGGGCCCTGGTTCGGATCCCACATATGAGGGCCAGTGACACTGCCCTCTACAGCTAAGATGCTGA